GCCTCTAATATGTAAATTATATTAACACAGATCTTCCCAAAATTATTAAAAAACATAGGTTTATACCCAAAAGAGTACAAGTAATTTAAGGATTCATGATTTTCTATTTAAGCAGGAAATCACTGAGTCAAGGGTTCCTGGGAGTAGATTCCAGTTGTCCTCAGTTTTTACCTGTGTGATCTTTCAATGTGGAAGATTAAAGCTACATCTATAAATCAAAGATAAATAATTCCTGTGCTATTTTTTACTTAGGGTTATTGTGGGGATCAAATAAGATCACAACCCACTAAGTTCCATTTTACATAAAATTGAGACATTAAAATAAAATTAAACTAATGGAAGAATATGTGAGAGTTGGTTTTATAAACGGCAAAGTTCTGAGAGTTTCTTTTTTGCAAAAAGACTTTGTTTCTTGCAAAAGACTTTGAAGAAAAAAACAGTCTTAACAGGCTCTCACCTAGATTTCTGAAATAGATTCCAGACACTTCCCTGCCTCCTGTCTCTCACAATTGAAATTTATGCTTCACAAATCACCATCTGATCCTCCCTTTAAAAATATTGTGGAGAAATATTATACCTCTGAAAGTTATTATAAACTCCTGGACTGCGTATCTGGGGGCTACTGAGATATGGACCAGAGCCAATGATAACTGAACAGTATAAATAGCATTGGAGTATGCATAGCCCAAAGGCTTTGAAAATGATAAGTGATCTCAGCCAAGCACTTAAATAACTCCCTAGACCACAGCTCTTATAGGTGGAACATATGTATACATGCATCGATCTAAAAATAAGTGGATGTTTATTGAGCAACTACTATACTTTAGGCACTAAGAATAAAGGCAAAAAAACAAAAAACAAAAAAAAAAACCCCACACCAAACACCTACTACCTACAATAAATACACAATATGCTGTTCCTTAAGTTTTGCGAGCCTATTATTTAAAGTTCATTGCTCACTGGTGATCTGTAAAGACCTAATTCCCATTCACTACTCCTGATAAACCATCTCTTGCTAACATTAACCTTATTAGTCAATTGCTTATTCATCTTTCAAGATTGACTTCAAGAACCATGTCTCCTAAGAAATCTCTCATGATTTCTGAATGAGATGGGATTCCTTTCTCCTCTGACTCTTATAGCATTTAGTTTTTTTTTCTTTCTTTCACTCACCTACACTTTTTCCTGGTATGTTTTTCCAGATATAAAGCATATTTTCCTTACTGAAAGTAAAGGATAAGCTGCTTAATAGTAAGGCCCGTGTTTCCTCGTCACTCCTGTAAGGTCCAACACAATGGATGCAACAACTGACCTCAAAGAAAGTAAACAAGAAACTTCTAGAAGGTTACATCATACTGTTTCCACTTGTCTGAACAGAATTAAGAGTAAAAATGGTCAAGGCCTAGACTGTTCACAAGGTGTTCTATGACAAGATACTTTGGGTAACATCCCAACGGTGGTTGAACAAGTACCAGTTATAAAATAGAAATAATGAAATAATAACAATGATAAACATCACCAGTGATGAACATTCACTAATACTTTATAACAACACATATTAGGTTGAACGAGTCTCTACTTTATGCAAGGTCATTTATTTCTATGCATTAGAAGTTGTCAAAATTAGAATGATCTTTCCAATTAAGAGTTGGTTGTTAACCAAAAGGTTGGCAGTTGAAACTCACAGACTACTCTGTGGGAGAAAACTAAGGCAATCTGTTCCTATAAAGACTTACAGCTTCAGAAAGCCTATGTTGGTATGAGTTGACATCGATTCAATGGAGATGAGTTTCTTCTTTGGATTATATTATAAAACACATACATTCTACTGAAACATTGAGAAAAAAATTTAAGAGACAGCAAAAAAGAGGGGGTTGTGGAGAGGGAGGGACAAGCAGATGAGATTGAGAGAGAGATAAGCCAAAGTGTTTAGGGGAGTCCTTTATTCTGGGGGAACAGAGTATGAACAAAAAAAACCTCACAGTGATTAAAGCTCACAGTGACCCTTCACTGGATTTCTGAGGCAATAAATCATAATGAAAGGAGGTTATTATCCATCTTGCCCCCTTGGAGCTGCTGGCAAATTTTAACAAAAGCCTTTGGGTTCTCAGTGTAACTCTCTACATACTACACTACAAGGGCTCCCTGGTAGAAAACAATATATAAAAAATCATTTGCTGCAGAAGGTCAAGGACTGCAGCCTTCAATATGGAGTGAAGCTCAACACCAAGAAAATAAAGATTCACACCACTGGACCAATGGGCAGCATCACAATAGAAGGTGAAGAGATTGAGATTGTTAACAGCTTTAGTTTGCTTGGCTCTACAATCAGCACTCTAGGTACCAGCACCCAGGAAATCAAAAGATGAAATGCACTGAGAAAGTCTGCTGTCAGGGAACTCTCTAGAATACAGAAGAGCAATGATACCAATCTGGAGACTTAGATGCACCTGATCCAGACCCTGGTTTTTGCCATTATGTGCTATATATGAGAAAGCTGGACAATGACTAGAGATGATAGAGGGAAAATTGATGCCTTTGAGCTGTAGTGCTCGAGAAGAGTACTGAATATACCACAGACTGCTAAAAGAACAAAGAGGTTTGTCCTGGAGAGGTCCTCCAACCTGCTCCTTGGAGACAAGGATTCTGAAGCTCCATCTGATATACTTTGGACATGTTGTAAGGAGGGACTAATCCATGGAGAGGGACATTAAGCTTGGGAGGGTGGAGGGACAGTGCAAAATAAGAAGGCTCTGGATGAGATGGACTAGGTTAATGAGGGTAGGTGAGTCAGAGACAAGGTTGGCTCAGGATAGAGCAGAGTTCAGAGCTGTTGTATACAGGGTCGCTATGAGTCACAGTCGAGTTGACAACACATAACAACCTGTAAGTGCAATTGGGGATTCATTCTCATAATTTTAAAAATTGCTGTGTCTTTACATGTGATTTGTTGTTGTTGAGTACCATACCATCAGAATCGAACCATAGCTGACTCTCTGGCAGGTTTTCAGAGGCAGTTAATTGCACATGAGGAGATTGACCATCTTTCTCCTGTGGAGCATCTGGTGGCCTCGAACTGTGTGCCTTTGGGATCATAACAGTCTTGCTACCAGGCCACCAGAGCTCCCATTATCCATAGTACAATTTTTTTTGTTTTTTGTTTATCTAGGGACTACTCAACGTAGTCTCAAAACAAAACAAAGAAAACCCAAACCCTATAGTATTTTTACATGAAGGAACTTTCATTTTAAAATATGCTAATATTACTCATTCCCTTTTAGTATAGTCATTTTGTCTTTCAAATAAGGAATATTGTGACATTGGGGAATATTGTTCAAGAATATTGGTCATAATCTATTAGTCTTACTATATTTGATGTCATGAGTATCAGGTCCTGTGCAAGGTATTTTGTTGTAAGTCTCACTCTAGCTAAATTATCCCACCCCTTTAGTTCACTTTCTAGGACATACTACCAAACAAGCACAAATACAGAATTTTATAAAGGTTGAAAGAAGATAAATGGATGATTTCACAAACTCTATGAAGTATTATGAACAACTCTGTCTTCATAAAATCAGAGTGACCCTCTTGGGAGGTGATTAATCCTTAGAGATTTGTAAGATATTTTGAAACAGATAAAAAAAGCTTTGATTTCTTTCTAGAACTTAAAGTGTAACCATAGAATTGTGGAGTTGTGCAGCCCTAGTTGTATATAAGAGCCAGTATAACAAGCATAAAATTGGGGGCGAGGGGGATAGGATGGAAGGATTAATGGGAAGGAAGAAAAGATAGTATTTTGAGTATGAGTATTATAATTAATGTTAGCAAACAAAATATTTATGGTTAGTAGAACAGAAAATCATTGTGCTTCAGACAATTCACTCAAATCACAAGAAAAAAAATAACCTAGTTTAAACATGATTTAAAAAGAAAGCTTGTGTCTTTACTCCTAAAGAGTCCTACTCAGGTGTGAAGATGACATATGAGAATGAATGATAGATCAATCATTCATTGAATGGAATTGTTTCCCTGTTCCATGGATCAAGGTTCCTAGAGAAGCAAATATAAGATAGTCCTTTCCAAGAGACAGAAGAGTAAAAAATATAAACAATACACCCTCAAGAAGATCACAGGTTAAAAAATACCCAGAATTCTCACCAGTTTTGAATTGTCACTTTCAGGCAATGGTTTAATACCAACTTCATGACTGTAATCTTCCTCATTACTAACTGGTTCAGTGCCACTCTGATCCTATGAAACAAAGAAAATGGCAAAAACATCACTCTTCCATCACTGTGCAACTAAAGTGTACACATACGTTATTATAGTCACTTCTTTTTTGTTGCTTCTTCTCCAGAAGTCTTTCCTTTCCAAAAATCTATTCCTCTGGGTCACAGATATGTTCTAGGAGAAGCTAAGCTTGAGTTTTTGTTGCAGACTTGATCTTTTTGCCAGTGAGTTTATCAGAGATGAGTGCGTGACTGAACTCTAGCCAGTGAGATACGAAGGTTTGTGGATGACTTCTGGAAAAGTTATTCCTTGATATGAAGGACAGGAAGTCTCCATGTCCCCCAAATTAACAAGAAAACATGAAGCTAAATGGCCAGAGGAATACTACAAGATACTACTCTATAAACATTAGTCATTCTACAGATTTAGTTAAACTGAAGCTAATGCTGCAGATTGCAAAGTGAACAGACATAAAAATCAGTTCTTTGATGGCAAAACTGGGTAACTGCATCAGCCAATCACAGAGTAAAGTCCCACATTTAGCTACCACTACTGAATGAATTGTGTCCCCTAAAAAGACATTTAATTTTCTGGGTAAATGCCTGTCAGACATTACTCTTGAGCATCTAAATTAAGGCAGACTTCAGAGGAGGACTGGCCATCCACTCCTGAAATAAGAGGCTTTCAAAAACTCTATGCACATTAGAGCACATTTAGACTAGTAGATATGATACCTGAGGATGGGCCCTCCAGTTTACACATAAAGGAGGAGGAACAGTTGCAAGTAGACAATAGTACTGAACTGTGGATTTTGAGAAGCATAAACATAGGGAAATTAGACACTGTTAAGAGAGAAATGGAACGTATAAGTATTGACATTGGCAAAATGAAATGGGCTGGTGTGGGACATTTTGAATCAGACAATCATATGATCTACTATGGAAGAAGTGAAAAGTTGAGGAAAAGCAGGGTCACATTGATAGATAAAAAGACCATTTCCAGATCTAAAGTTATAATATGAACGACAAGGTAATATCCATCCCATATTAAGAACATCCGTTAATACCACCATCATTCAAATAAACTCACCAACAATCAGAGCCAAAGAGAAGGAAAGAGATGACTTCTACCAACTTTTGCAACCAGAAATCGATCAAAGATGCAATCAGGATGCATTAACAATAATGACTGACTGGAATGCAAAGTTGGCAACAGACAAGAAGGTTTAGTAGTTGCAAAGCATAACAGAAACGAGGTTGGAGATGAAATGATAAAATTTTGTAAAGTCAATTATTTATTACAAATATCTTTTATAAGAAACATAAATGACAACTGTAACCATGGACCTCACCTAATTATCTGCATAGGAATCAGACTGACTACATCTGTGGAAAGAATCACTGGAGAAGCTAAACATCAGCTGTGAAAACTAGACAAGGTTCCGACTGTGAAAGAGACCATCAACTGTTTACATACAAGTTCAAAATGAAGCTAAAGAAAATTAAATGAAATCTATAAGAATAAAAATTTGACCTTGAGTCTATCCAACTTGATTAAAAAGCCATCTCAGGAACAGGTCTGAAGTCTTTTTTTTTTTTTTTAATTTTTGTGTGCGTGTACCGTCAAATCAGATCTGACTGGTACAGGAGGAGATTGCCCCTCCTTCCCTGGCAGAGCATCTGGTGGATTCGAACCGTGCGCCTCTGGGATTGTAGTTGCAGCTCCTTGCCACTAGGCCACCAGAACTCCCCAGGTCTGAAGTCTTGAACACTAAAAAGGAAGGCCAGGTAAGCTGTGGGAGGATATCAAGAATATTATCCATAAAGAAGGCAAAAGGTCATTACAAAGACAAAGGAGGAAGAAAAGATTGAGATAGATGTCAGAAGTGACTCTGAATTTTCCACTATTGCTCTGAGAAGCCAAAGCAAAGGGAAATTAAGGAGGTGTACATAAGATTTCAGAGGGCAGCTTGGGAAGACACAGTATTATAATAAATCATGCAAAGAGCTGGGATCAGAAAATAAAAAGGGATGAATTCGTTCAATATTTCTGCAGTTGAATGAACTGAAGAACAAATTCAAGCCATGAGTTCCAATACTTAAGGATGCTATAAGCAGAATATTGAATAATCCAGGAAGTTGTGAAGAGCAACAATATTAATCAACAGACTGTTGTTGACTGCCGTCCAGTCGATGATGACTCATAGCAACCCTATGAACAAAAGATCTGAAGTCTTTTTATAACTATCCTGGTTTCTCCAAGTTCATAGAGTTTCTATAGGCATGTGGTTTAGCAAGTGGATGACACTCCTGCTTCCAAACCTCTCTTAAACTGGGAGCTCCACCAAACACTGTGCACCATGGGCAACTATTTTGGCATTTGACACTTGAGCATCACAAGGCTCCATATCACAGCAAACCCAGATTACCTCAGTACCGCAAACTGACATGAGTGCTACATGATTTAGAAATATGTTCCTTCAAAATATAACACAACTATGCCCAAGGGCCTTAGTCTAGAGACTAAACTGTGCATAATCCAGGCCAAGATTTTTGCAATTACTTGCTATGCATGAGAGAGCTGGACAATTACCAAAGAGGATAGAAGATCAATGCCTTTGATTTGTGGTGCTGGAGAAGAGCATCGAACATACCAGGGACTGCCAAGAGAACTAACAGGTCTGCCTGGAGAGGGTGAAATAAAGCTGCTCCTTAGAGGAAAAGATTTTGAGGCTCCGTCTCACATACTTAAGGCATGTTGCCAGGAAAGACAAGTCATTGGAGAAGGACATCATGATCAGAATAGTAGAGGGACAGCAAGGGGTTGGCGGGAGACCTCAGATGAGAGGGACTGACATAGTAACTGGGGTAATGAGGGTAGGTGTGTCAGAGACAGACAGTGAGCTTGGCTCAGGATAGAGCAGGGTTCAGAGCTATTGCACATAGAGTAGCTATGAGTTACAGTGGACTCAACAGCACATAATATAGGCTTGCTATGAGTTATAGTGGACTTGACAACACACCACAGCAACAATGACAATGACAAAACCAAGACATTTTGAAATCCTAACTTTTATAACCTGTAACTATTACCTTATTTGCAGATGCTATCAGTTAACATGAGTTCACTATGGAATAGGGTTTGTCTTCTAGAAGCCCTGATGGTATAGTATATTGAGAAACAGAGACTGTGGTGTTGGGGGTCTATTTGTTTAAAATGGCTTTACAAGCCCATTGTCTTTGATTCTGCTGGGCAGGAGAATGCAAACAGGGTGTGCTAGTTTATTGACAAGGGCAGACTGGCTAGTCTTATTAAATTGAGCAGATTCAGCAGTAGAAAGGGGGAATCTCAGTTCTAACAAAGAAGTAACAGTAGCAGCAGCAGCAGCACCAACAGCAGCAGCAGCAGCCTTGGCAGAAAAGCAAAAAACAACCTGAGACAGAGGCCTTTACTCAAATTTCCTGGAGGAGGCCTTGACCCAAGCTTGTTGGAGGACTGAGGATTGAGGGGACTTTGTCACACTGACATAAGCCATGAAGTTGAAGGTCAAAAGGCTTTTGACTTTGCATGAGATGCTATCTGGACTGAGGACATGTATCTTAGTGCCAACATGAATTTTTTTATATAT